ACTAAAATGCAATAAAAATCTCAATTTTGTTAAAAAATTCCCGGAACCTGATTTTCCTAGCAATCAACCCATATATATATATTTCAGTATTTAAATTAAAATTATTCATAAGACTTAATTCTACCGAAAGTTTTAAAACGTTAATTTAGATTTTTTAAAAAAAAATAGTATAATGTTATATAATTATTAATTACGTAAATGATAGAATCCTATTTGTCAATTTAAAATCGCGTGAGGTACCTTTTTTTTTTTGTGCCGCTAGTTATAAATTTGGTATAATTTACATCATTAACACCTTGTAGTTTTATTTACAAAATGAGATTAATTTCAGCTCAAGAAGTTAGTAAACATAACAAACGCGAAGATTGTTGGGTAATTATTCATGGCAAAGTTTATGATTTATCAAATTTTCTTCCTGAACATCCGGGTGGAATCAAAGTTATTCTTCAACAAGCTGGTAAAGATGCTACAGCAGCATTCGATCCAATTCATCCACTAGATATTATTCAAAAATATTTGCCTCCTGAAGTTTGCCTAGGAGAAGTTGACTCAGCTACATTAGTCAAAACTACCAAGGTAGAAACCGAAGAAGAAAAAAGGCGTCGTCACGCAATAGAAAATAAGCCATCTATAGACGAAATGTTCAATATGTACGATTTTGAGGCAGTAGCTTCACAAGTTTTAACAGCTGAAGCTTGGGCTTATTATAGTTCAGGCGCTGATGATGAAATTACTCTTAGGGAAAATCATAATGCTTTTCATCGCATTTGGCTACGTCCTAGAGTCATGAGAGATGTATCGCATGTAGACATGAAAACAAGGCTTTTAAATTACGAAACATCTTTCCCTCTGTATATAACTGCTACCGCATTGGGAAAATTAGGTCATCCAGAGGGGGAAGTAGTTCTCACTCGTGCCGCGCGCACGCATAATATAATTCAAATGTTACCGACCCTCGCTTCATGTTCTTTAGACGATATGACAAATGCTAGAGGTGAAGGACAAATTCAATTCTTTCAATTATATGTTAACCGGAATAGAAGTATCACACAAAAGGTGGTTCAGGCGGCCGAGCAGAAGGGTTGTAAAGCACTTTTTATAACCGTAGATGCACCACAGTTAGGTCGTCGCGAAAAAGATATGCGCGTAAAATTCGTGGATGCACCACCTGATGTTCAGGATGAAAAAGATTTAAGACGCGATCAAGGAGCTGCAAGAGCGATTAGTTCGTTTATTGATCCATCTTTAAATTGGAAAGATTTGGAATGGTTTAGATCGATAACAAAATTACCTATTGTACTTAAGGGTATTCAAACTTCTGAGGATGCAATACTTGCAGCCCAATATGGCTGTGACGGGATAGTTCTTTCAAATCATGGAGGTCGTCAACTTGACTTTGCTCGTTCCGGAATTGAAATTCTTCCAGAGATAGTTGAAGCATTAAAGAAAAAAGGATTATACCATAAAATAGAAGTATATGTGGATGGTGGTGTACGACGCGGAACCGATATTTTCAAAGCGATAGCTTTAGGAGCAAAAGCTGTTGGAATTGGAAGACCATTGCTTTACGCAATGGCATCTTATGGTCAAGCGGGTGTAGAACGCGCGTTGCAATTGTTACGAGATGAATTGGAAATGGCCATGCGGCTCACGGGAGCAAAAACTCTCGATGATATTCGACCAGAGATGGTAGATATCAAAAATCTAACGGATCATGTTTTCATTCCAAAAGACTATTTGTTTACAAATGTTTACGATAAACCCGTACCAAAAAAGAGCAAGTTATAAATGATATTTTTTTTTTTATTTATAAAATTTTATGTCACGCAAACATTTGTATTTTTATTTTCATTATTAAAATTTGTTTGTTATAGTGTTTCACCCATCTTTATTTTCTTTTTCTACAACCTTATCTTCATTCAAATTTTGGTTTTCTTGTTGTTTCATGATTACTCTAATTGGCCTTGATTTCCAACCAGCTAACTTTCGAAGTTGAGATTTTCTGTTTTCTTGAAAAAGTTCAATTGAATATTTTGAATCGGAAGGTGTTGGAGGATAATTAAAATCCTCACTTAAAGTGACAATAGCTTTCTTATAGCTAGGCCGATATTTATTGGAATATTTTTGTAATTCTGCAGCGTAGACCATCGTTCGCACATCAACTACCTCCAGTTTATAAATATGTGTTAAATAATCTTTTATATCAAGTTTATTGACATTAGTCGGGATTCGAAACGCTACTTTATTTGGAGGTAATGAAGGTGTGCGAATTAAACGAAAAATTATGTTGGGAAAATAAATTCTTTTTAAACCAGGTTTCCATCCCATTTCTTGTCAATAAATGAAAATTGTATTTTTTTTTTTGATCGATTTTTTTTTTTTATTAAAAAAAAAAAATTGATGTATGCAACCAATCAACTTTGTTTAATTATCAATTTTTTTTTATTTTTATTTCAAAGTCGCAAAAATTTTTTTTAAAATTCTAGTAAAATGGCCGCTCCATATAAAAAATTATCAATAAGAAAATTTGCCAAACACGTTGACAATAGTACCGAAGAGTCAAAATATTGGAGCAGATTTAAGGTGTGATTTTGATTTTGATTTTTTAATTAAAAATTTGGTTGTATGGAGATTAGAAGAAAGAAAGAGATTTATAAGACCATATTTTTTTTAACCCCGTAAACAAAATAACAAATTGAAACTTTTATTTTTTTTTTGGTTGCTTTAATTCTGTTTATCATTTTAAATTCAATAATTATTTTTTAGAGAAAAACTTTTAAAGAAATTGCTTCCGTAACCTCAATACATTTTTCTCCTATCGCACCACATGATTTCGCAGTTACATCATCTACACGAGTTCAAATCTATTCTCCGAAAAATTATAAATATCAAGTAACAAAATCAATATCAAGGTTTAATGACATTGCGTACAGCGGAAATATCCGAAATGATGGTAACCTTCTTGTCGCTGGAGACGCTACAGGGTTGATTCAGGTATTTAATATCAGGGATATCCTTTCTTTGTTAAATATATTAACGGAAATTTTGTTTTTAAAGTAGATTTTCAATATTCATAACAGAGCAATATTAAGAACGATGCAAGGACATAAACTGTAATAATTATACATGCATATCAATTTACCTGAATTATTTATAATTATATTTACAAATATGATTCGTCAGTCCCGTGCAGGTAACGAAATTTGCTCCTGGAAATACGCAAGTTCTCTCTTGTTCAGACGATAAAACTGTTCGAATTTGGGATATACCTGGTCAAGAGCCTGTGTCAGTTCTCGAAGGACATCAGGTCAGTCTTTCAAATAATAGATAAATCATTAAATAAATATTGTTGAAATTAACTTGCTAACCGAATCAATAAACTTAAGGATTATGTACGATCTGGTTTAATAAATAATGGCAATCCTCGCTTAGTTTTATCGGGTTCTTATGATCAAACAGTGAAACTTTGGGATTTGCGTACAAATACTTGTACCATGACTTTGATGCACGAAGCACCTGTAGAAGAAGTCTTATTATTTCTTGATGATCGAACAGTAGTTTCAGCAGGTTTTTTTTTTTTAAAAAAAAAAATAAAATTTTTTCTTAAAAATAAAAAGGATAACTTAGTTGTTAAATTATGATTATCATCTTATTATTATAAGGTGGACCGACTATAAAAGTTTGGGATGTTAATGGTGGAGGTCGAGTTATGTATTCTTTGTCGAACCATCAAAAAACGGTTACCTCCATGTGCTTAAATTCAATGCATTCTCGACTTCTTACTGGATCTTTGGACCGTCACGTCAAAGTTTATGATACAAAAAATTTTGAAGTTGTGCATGGATTAACATATTCCGATCCAATTTTAAGCCTCGCAATTTCAGTAAGTAATATATTACTTTTTTTTTGATATTTACGAAATTCCTTTCAATGTCACTTATTGAATATTTCATATTCTAGCCTGATGAAACTCACTTCGCAGTCGGGATGACATCAGGCACCTTAGCTGTGCAATACCTTAAAATTGAAACGCCTTCAAAACGTGTAAAAGAACCACCGAAACCAGGCACTTACCAATACTTTATTCGCGGTTTCAATCACAGTGGCAGTAAGGTATGATATCTTTAGATTACTGTATTCGTAATTTTCTCGCGATATCATCATTTACCAACATTTGTCAAAAAATATTTTTTTAAAGGATGATCATGTAATAGAAGCTAAACGTAAAGAGAAACTAGCGATGTATGATCAATACTTGAGGAATTTTCAATATTCAAATGCACTTGATGCTGTGTTAAGACCCGTATGAATTATTTATTTGTAATTTTTACGTTTAATACTTGTTTATTTCCTTTTGTTAAGAAACATAACGTTATGTACGCAATCTATAGACTACACTTCCCATTTTGACGGTTTCGTTAATTCAAGAACTTATACTACGCGATGCTTTAACAATAGCCATTTCTGGACGTGATGAAACTTCTTTAGCGCCTTTAATCAAATTTGTGAACAAATGGATAACGGATCCAAAATATATGAACCTTATGGTCGATGTTGCGCAAGTCATACTTGGTATATTTCTTTCCATATACAATTGTGTCTGTTTCCTTTTTTTTTGAAACATCTATTATTAACAATTTACTATTTTCACAAATTTTATTCGATAAATTTTAAGAATTATATTCCCCAGTGATTGGACAATCTCCCACCATAACAAATCTTATCAAGACTTTACATCAAAAAGTAAAAGATGAAATTTCTATACAATTAGAAATGGCTAAAGTAATAGGTTCTGTAGAAATGATCTTTAATGGTGGCGCGTTAAGAAATAAGAAACAAAAATAAATTTAGAGTATTTATTGGAAAAGAAATTAAGAATCAAAAATCAAAATTGTTTATTGAACAGATTCTAAAAAAAAAAAAAAAAAATGCTAATGTATTATAATATTCAAGAATATAAAAAATATGTATTGTCGAACAATATTAATATGAAGAAAAGATCATCGTTGAAGTAAGAAAGTTTACATTAAACCCTATCATCTAATAAAACTTCACGTTACAAAGTAAAGTCTAAATTAGATAATAACAAGTTCTGTCAAGGGAAGAGGCAACCTTTTTCGTATTTATTTTCATTGGGGGAAGAAAAACACTTTGGATCCACCCAATTTTTCATATACTCGACACCAGGGATCTTATGGATCGGATGCTGGTAAAAGCGAAAAGTAACATTCCATGAGTGAGATGATAAATATTACACGATAATTTCTCAAAGCTAGCTAGCTCATGATGACAATCATTCACAAGATAACGAGCCATTGTGAATGCGTAACTTAACATGATAATTTAAAGTGGTTAATAAAAAAGAATATATTAAAGAAAAAATTAATTAATCAATAAAATTTTCTTTTTCCATGAATGCGTTCGTGTTTACTTTGTAGTTTATCATATACAATCTTCGACGAAAAAATGACGGTTATTTGTTTTAATGCCATGAATGAAAATGATAATAAATTATGAATATTTTTTTTATATTCTAAAAGAAGAACAAAATACATATATTTATTATTTAATTAATATTTGATAAAGCTTCCTTCTTCATCAATATATTTAATTATTCAAATTGTGCTCTTTTAAATTTTGTGCTCTAAACAAAAAATTGGTTATTTTTAAAGACAAAATATCAAGTATACAATATTATCATTTGAATTGTATTGTCACAAGGAACTCATCAATTAGAAATTTATTTCAATCTGACCAAAGGTTGTTGAGTATCATTAACATGCAATCCTTGCGAATTGTGACAGTTAGACGGAATGTCAAGGGTTGATTCTTTTTAAATTTACGTAGCAATACACGTAATTTATATTAAACGAAGTTTATACTGAGAGTTTATATTTATATACAATTACTTATCACTAGGAATTACACAAGTTGATAATTTTATGATAAAAATAATTTATTGATAAGATATAAGAAAGTATAAGAAAGATTAAAAGAAAGAAAATAATAAAGGATAAAGAAATTATCTAATTAAAAGGAAAGCATGATTAATTAAGTATTGCCTTATAACTTAAGTATACAAAAAGGAAACTACTGAGAAAAATTTACTAAAATGGATCTACTTGAAAATTTAAATAATTGAATTCTATATACTGTATATGTTTTAAAATACATAAAATAATATGTTAATTATTTCAATATATTAAATATGTCAAATATGTTAAATATGTTAAATATATTAGATATGTCAATCATATTAATTATGTTAATTATGTAAGAGTATATGGAAGTGTTTCTAGGAAAATCAGGTTCTGAGAAATTTTTGACTAAAATTAAAAGCTTAATACATTTTGATCTAATAACATCAAAAACTAAAATGCAATAAAAATCTCAATTTTGCTAAAAATTCCTGGAACCTGATTTTCCTAGCAATCAACCCATATAGAAAATATGTAAGATATAGAGACCTACATATAGTATACCCTTAATATAACAAAGTAGTTATTTTATATCTCAATTTTGTTATAGCAAATTAGTAAAGAATTTAAAGGATTTAATTGATTACTTTGTTATAAAGAGGGAAAATCGACATATTTAATTAGTCAAGCATCTTGTGATTCATTATATCAAAATTTGCTATATTAAGGATAAACTGTATATACAGAGGGTGGACAAAAGTATCCGCACACTTTTTCACTC